CTGGCAGAGGCAGCTGCCAGGCAGCTGGCAGCTACAGACAGCTCAAGTGCAGATTTATTTGGCATCCCTGGCAAAAGGTGGGGCGCGGGGTACATGTGATAGTGTTGGCAGCTGCCGCGAGGCTGCAAAGGGAGGTGAAACAGGACTTTGGGGCGGCAAAGAGTCTGGGCCAACTGGTGCTCAGCACAAGTTAGTGCAGACAGGGCAGCTCTGGGCTGCTCCAGCCAAGGGTTTGGTTATTTCTCTCCCTGTGAAGTTTTTCCTTGTATCCGGTGGGGATTTCCCTTGCTGCCACTCGCCCCATTGCCCAGCTTCTCCAGGAAGAACTAGGCTCCCTCTGCAGAGGGAGCTCAGCTCCCAGCTGAGCCAACCCCACACCCTCAGCCTCTCCTTAGCCACTGTGGGCTCCAGCCATTCTGGCAACCTTTGCCAGACGAAGGTAAGCCCAGCTCGGTTTGCAGATGTGTTCCCCTCTCTACAGGGGCTTCTCTGCAGCAGCCAGCCCACCCGGCAGCTCATAGGGACCTTCCCAAGCCCACAGACACCGTCTGCAAGCAAAGACCCAAGACCAGTCAGTAAATACATAGTGCCAAAACCCTGCATTTATTGAGAGACCATGTCGAGCCCAGGCCAGCTGTGTCCTGCTGCCCTCCAGTCAGCACCCCTCACTGGGGGCTGACATCCCAAGTAACTGCCTCCAGCCCGTTCTTGCTGCCAAACTGGGGGCAGTTTGGGCCTTGCTCCCTCACCAATGCTCTGTCACCCATGGAGACACTCCAATGTTGCCAACAACCATGCGACTCTGCTTCCTCCCCCTGAGGAAGTCACCCCACTATGCTCCTGGCAGCCACAAAGTGCTCCCCAAGCTGTGAGGGACCGTTATGGAACCCACCACCAGCTTGGCTGAGCAGAGCAGCGCTTCCTCCAGGCTTTGGCTAAAGAAACTGCACAGCCACTTTGCCCACCCGGTCTCAAAAGAAGGGGGCCCAGGAGACATCAGAGAGGAGCAGGCAGGTGCCAGTTTGTGCCTGTTCTCTCGCACCCCGTAACACATTGTCCCCATCACTCCTCCAGTCCCAGCCCTGCTGAGCATTAGCAGGCAGCAAACTTCTGCTGGATGAGTCTGTACCTGAGCAGCTCCTGCTCAGAGACTGACGGCTGCAACCTTGCAGCAGCCTGCAGGAAGTCATCCATGGTCAGGATCAAAGCAGAGCTCTCGGTATCCAGTCCTGCACGAACGAGAGAACAGGAAAAGGCTGAGAGCCAAGAGCAGGGGCAGCCCGCAAGGTCCAGCAGGCCCCTCTCCAGCCGCCTGGAGACTGGAAGGAAAATGTCTCTCGCCTTCTCCCTGGGGCCAAGGTGAAGATGATCACATCTGCAGAAACTGCCTGCCTGCCAGTAACCCAGAGGCTAGCATCAGATGTGGTCTCAAAGCCATCGAGGCTCTTCCCACACAGCCCAGTTACCAGGAGGGGTAACTCTCCTCTCTGCCTCTGTGCTGGGCCACCCCGACACGCGGGACAGGTAGCGGCCAGGCTCCTACCTTCCTCAATCCATTCCACCTTGCGTTTGACAGCGCACATCATGGCATCTGAGCACAGGGCGTAGATGTCTGCTCCTGTCAGCTGAGCTGGGCATTTTTCTAGGATGGCGGTGAGATTCACAGAAGGATCCAGTTTAAACCTGCCAGAAGGGAAAACTGCAAGTGTACAAGCCACAGGAAAAACAGACCAGGAGAGACGCAGCAGCCAGCGTGACTGGGCAGGAGGAACTGGAGGCCCCATGTTTAGCTGCTTCTGGACTGTGGTCTACATGCTCCAAAAAAAAATCAAAGGGGTCGGTTGGTTGTTGTTTTTTTTTTTCAACACAGTCACTTCTCTTTGAAACATCCCTGCAGCAAGGTCCTCTCTCCTGCTAAGTAGGATCAAAGGCAACTCTGAGTTTTCACTCAGAGAAATTAAGTGATCCACATGCCTGGGAACAGCCTTCAGCCAGGGCTGGATAAGAACGTGTTTAATTACAGACAGTACAAACCACTGTAACACCAAACCGTCCCATCAGAGCCACGCTGCAGACAATGAGCCTCCTTCAGCGTGAACAACAGCACGGCCCTGGACGGCACCACCACTGCCAAGCCACATGGTGTGAAGAGATGCTCGCAGCCAGCCCACGCTCTCGCCTCTCCTGCTAGCTCATCGTCAAAGGCAGCAGCGATCACAGCTATCCATGGCAGAACATCCCGGCAGAGGCAGAGTCACAGATGCTCGCCCAGCTGTGGTGAGTGGGAACTCTGTGCCTGAATTGCAGGGCTTGCTTTTCTCCCTCCAGAGATGCTCTCAGGAGCTCAGAGCAGCTGGGGAAGCAGCCAAACCAGTGTTTGGAAAGACACAGAGCACAGGCTGAACATCCCTCAGTGTTGCAGGAGGACAGGCAATGAGAGGAACAGAGCTGCCCTCGCCCTTGGACCTGCAAACAGCAGATGTGCTGGGGGAACTCCTGCAGGAAGCAAATGGGAGCTTCCAGACATGTCGCTGTGCTGCAGTCTCATCACACTGTCAGGATCTAGCTGAGCTCAAGAGCGTGTGGGCATGATGACTGGAGAACTTTACCAACCCCTCCACTTGGACAGCCAGCTGAGCTGCTCCCATCTTGTAGGAAAACCAGCCCCAGTTCTGCTTCTGGAAGTTGCCCCATCCTCTTCCCCTACCTGCCGGCTGTGGGTCAGTGACTCAGGTGCTCCCCAGGGCTCAGACACGAAGCCAAGCTGGAGCACACTACGCATCAACCCCAGGAAGGCTGTGACCCATTGGAGGGTGGTGGAAGGCTGCTGAGAGAGCCCAGGGTCACTCACTTCCTGGTGACAGCGCTCAGCACCTGCAGCTGCGACTCCCGGTCTTCATTTATGCCCACATAGACCAGCTTGTCAAACCTGTCAGCAGAGAGGAGAGACAGTCAAGAACAAGACAAGACAAATCTGCTACTGGTGCTCAGCCCTGTGCACCAGAAACTGAAGGGGGGCCCTAGGGCAGCTCCTTTTGTGCCAAGCTCGTGGATGACACAAAGCTTGAGGGGGAGAGAAAGCAGTCAATACGCTGGAGGGCAGCGCTGCTCTTCAGAGGGACTGGGGCAGGCTGGAGAAGTGGGTTGGTAGAAACCATGTGAGGTCCAACAACAAAGTCCTGCCCCAGGATGGGCAATCTGCAGGCACAGGGACAGGCTGGGGGGGCAGCTTTGCAGAACAGGCCCTGGTGGACCAATTCCTCCTGCCAGTTTGGTGCCACAGCAGGTCCCTTACTGCCCTGCTGTGTTGCTGGGGCAATGGCCAGAGTGGTGGTGGATGACAAGCAGTGGTATCTCATGCTGCTGCTACAGCCATAGGCACTGGCCTCCTCTTGGCTTTCTATCTCCCCCATAAACAAGGGCCAGGGGGCTTTAGAAACAGTCTCTGTGGAGGGAATGTGGTGGGGACACAGTCCTGCTCATCACTGCCTGAGGAGGTCCAGGGAACTACCCTGGAGCGAGGCAGGGTAGGACGCGACATACCTGCCTGGCCGGAGCAGAGCTGGGTCCAGGAGGTCAGGCCTGTTCGTAGCTCCAATGACAAACACCTCTCTGGTGGAATGAAGGCCATCAAGTTCAGCCAGGAGCTGTGAGACAACTCTGCAGGGAGCAAGACAGAACATTCACAACTAGGCCTTGGCAAGTCACACACTGTCACCCTCAGCCACCAAATGAAAATCAGAATAAGCAAGGCCACTGGCAGGTCCATGTCTTGGACTTCAGCTCATGTTCTGAAGGGAACTGGAGCCCTAACACAGCCATCCAGACTCCCCCGTTTGAGCACAGCCAGTAAGCGTGTGGCTCATTGCAAAGCGAGTGCAAATCCCTGGTACCACGACAGTCCTTCAGGCCAGTGCTCAGCTCTGAACCCTTCCAGGATGGCCACATGTGCTTATACTTGCTATCAGACACTGGCAACACAGACCAAACGTAGGCTATGTGGCTATGGCTCAGGTTCCCCACTTGGCTGTGCTGGCTGGTGCTAACTCTCCCTGCTATGGGCAGCAAGTTCAGCTGCAAGACTGCCCTGTCAGTCCATGCTGGGGACACCCTGTCAGGCCAGTGACTCCCCATCAGGCCAGTGACAATGCCAACAGTCCTCAGGGTGGTGAATGGCACAAGACACAGATCTAGTTCTGCGGCCGATGGGGGCTTAAGCTGGTCTGGCAGC